GACGTCACGTGCAAAGTATGAATTCAGGGCTGGGTTGAGGTGCCAGCAGCCTAAACAAGGTAGTCCAGACGTCCCTCTCCCCAACAACGTTTCCAGCTCCCCCTCTGGGATCCTGAAGCATTCCCAATCCGGCCATGTTTGAGGACAACTCATAAAGTCAGATCTATCTTTGAAAGAATAACTATGGTACAGCCTTTTTGCAACAAGCTGTTGCCACAAAAAGAATTTTATTAGTCTGGATTTGTTGGTTTTAGTTTTAGTTGGTATGAAAATGGTCAAATCTGCGATCTACTTCTGGGTATATTAGTATTGGCTTTCAGAAAACCGTATTGATCTAAACCTAGTTAGATCACCACAGCATTTTTAAAGTGAGATCTATAAATCAACATTTGGCGTTGTGGACGCTCTGAGGCGTGGAACACACAGTCAGGACCCAAAAACACAGGACAGTTCCACATTGTATGTGATGTTCAGTGTACTCACTCCCGATCAATAACTTTCATGTGAGCACAATCAATTGCATCAAACACAAATAGTCACGTCATGTGAGTGCAATGGGACCAGACTGTTGGCATGGAAACAGAACAGTCATGTGAGCCAAATAAAGCAGGGTTTTCTGCAGAGGGACACACTGGAGACAGAGCTGGAGGAATGCATTACATGTGTGGGGATTACAGTCGGCACACTACAAAACTGGACTGCTCCTGTAATCAGCTATAGCAGGATAACAGCTGTCACTGTTACCTGCCAGACTACAAACATTTAAATTCCCAGTAAAATAAGTTAGTAAGTCCACTCAAATGTTTCAAGTTGAGTTCAGCTTTGATGAACTTTGACACAGAAATTCACACTGCTGACAAATAAACCATCTTGATAGTGATGACTTGCAGGGAGCAGAGAATCTAAAATGTATGTTAGTTAAGTTATGTCATCTTTAAATCACTGTTACGTTGTACTGATTAACACTTTTATTCAGAATTTGCAAGCAACAATCATTTGTGAAACGTGACGTGATGATACAACTTGCAATTTGCATGTAAGAAAAACTAGTACAGGCCCCTCAGTGCCATTGTAGGCAGTGTACTGATGAGATGTGTCTCACTCACAGCTCCACGTTAAATAGATACATAAAACACTTTTTACTGAGTGCCATTACAATTTAACAAAAAGACAAAACAAAAACCCATTAACACTGACAAAACTTATGTGCAGCATCAAAGTTAGAGAACATAATCAACACAGTTGTTGATATCACGGTTTCTGACTTTATTTATTCTTTTACTCCTCCTTTGGTTCCATTTCTCTACTTGCAGAGAAGGAACAGTTTAATTTTATGCTAACATAAACTGTTATGGAAATACACATACAAAGAGATAAGATGATGCGCTACATCCGCTAATTCAAACCATTAAAGTGCAGACATAAAGTGTATGTTACTGCATTGATCATATGAGCTGCAAATGTGTTTTAAATTAAATACAAACAATGTGAACAAAATGGTTTTAAACAAGATTGGAGGAGTGGCTGCTGCATGAAGAACCAATCCAGTGGACGTTTGAAATCCAGACATGATGGAGACGTGGTACAAACAGAAGGCGTCATACAGAAATGGAAGTGGACATGAGGGTGCAAGGATTCAGCCAAATGCAAACCCGAATAAGGTAACAAATCTCACTCCCATTTTGGAGGTTGTTACGAGGCCCAATGTGTAGGATTTAGTGGCATCTAATGGTGAAGTTAAAGATTGCGACCGACTGAATACAGCTCAGCCTTCCAAGCGTGCTGGAGAAACTACAGTGGCAGTGAAATTAGCCAAAAGAAACACAAAAGGCCTTATTTAGAGCCAGTGTTTGGTTTGTCCGTTGTAGGCTATTGTACATATGGCGGTTCAACATGGCTCCCACTGTAAAATAAGGTAAGGTAATTCTAAGGTAACGAAAACAACTAATACACTAATAAAAACATAAATATTATATTGAATTTCTGCTAATAGATGTTCCCAATGTTATACACTGGACCTTTAAGGTATTAGGGAAGTAATAATCTTGATTAGATTAAATTCTTCCCAACTGTAAATAGTTGAATGGTGCATTTTGAGGATTATAGGTACCAAATGAATCCAAAAGACAATAATCAGAATATCTGATTTTAATCACATAATTACATCTCTTTAATTACAATAATCTGCAGCAGATTTTCAGTCACTTGTTAAGATCACATGCTGAATAGCAAACGGCTCAACCAGAGTTAAAATAGTAAAAACCCTTTCATTCTGATTTTTCTTCTACAATTATTGATTTGTTGTAGTTTGAGGGAACACCAGCAAGTTGTATTGCACTGACTCCCACAGTTGAGCAGCATGTCACTGCTGTCAAGGAAAAATAACACAAACTGCAAATATTTTAAGTCTTTTCACTGTCACTTGTGCAGTAATCGAGTTTCTTGATGCTTTAGCTCTTAAAACTTGTTGAATTAAAATGGTTTGGGTTTTTTTTCACTCCTTACAAAACTTCCCTTTTTGCAGATTGGCGTCATTTTGTCCCGACAGCAGCATCAGAAGGAAATCACAGGCATGCCAGAAGGCTTTCTGTAGGTCATTCTCGTTTTCTGAAATTAACCGTAACTAACATGAACTCTTGGCCCTCGTAGAAAACACGATAAGCCATGTGTATTACACAACAGTAGTTAGGATACTAAGACAAGGAGTACAGTCAGGATTGCTCTCAGTAGCATCATGAGACAGGAACATTAATCCAGAATCATGCAGTTATAGTCTGTCGCAGGAGCATCTCTCACAACAAATCAAGCAGGGATCAAACATGTCAACACTTTGCAGGAAATTACATAGCAGACACTGTATACATAACATATATTGTTACATAGAAAAATGTTATATAAATAGAAGATGTTGGGGGCAGCAGGGTCAGTGGGACACTCATTGCACCGGTTAAACTGTGAACCCTAACCCTATTCTGACCTCTGACCCCCTGACATGCAGTGTTGGGTGTGACGGTAATTCACTACCTTTGGCGGTAACAAGGAGTGTAACTAATTCAATTTTTAAAATGAATCACGCAATTACAATTACTGAAATTTCAGAAAGATAAACACAGCCACTTGATTTTCCAATTTGTGATATAACATCGCCCAACCTCAGTGACCCAAGACAGTTCAGGCAATGTGAGCTATTTTTTTTATTAACTAACTATTGTAGCCAGGCTTGGTTAAAATTAACATTCTGGTGGGTCTTTTTCTACTAAATCCTCCTGCCCACGAACCAAGACAGTAAGTGTAGTTTACAGGTAGGAACACTACTCGTTGCTGCCCTCTGGTAGTCAGGAGTAATAATAACTAGATACATTTGTCTCGTCCCACAGCGACACTAATATAATACAGCTGATAGTGTGCATTAATAAGAGAAATAAAGCAGACATTTAAAAGTAACGCAAAAGTTCCTTTCCCCAGTAACTAATTACTTGTATATGCAGTAATTGGTAGTCAAACACAGTCAAAATAAAAATACTTTTTAAAAACTGAAATTTAATTGTAGTTAAACATCTACAAGTCAATGAGAAGTGGGCAAACTCCATCTGCTGAGAAAGATCTTATAATACCATTGAAAGCTCTGGGTCAGGTGGGTCAAGGTCATTTTTTAAAGTGATTTGCCTTGTGACAGTACACACACGTATAAAACAATAAATACGTATTATTTTAAGTTTTCTTGTATTTTTTATATCAATAACCTATTTGTTATACTTTTTCAGTCATATTTTATACACATTTAAAACACTGTGTGAACATTATTTATTGACTGTGTGACCAACCAAAAAGCTGATGCTGATAAATAAAAAAATATAATATATTCAGGCTGGCCAGGAAACAGTGTAACAGATAGATGAGATTTGAACTCATTAAATTATCAGCATAGACCAAGCATTATAGCCTACCTAAAATCTGAATTCTACCTTTGGACAATCTTCAGGGAATGTGAGGGGAAAATACACTATTTCTAACCACTATTTGTTGACAATTATTTAGAAATCAACATCAATAAATCAATATATAATTTAAAACATGTGATTTAAAAGCAGCCACAATAAATCCTGTGACATCCACTACAGTCAGAAGCTGAGAGGGCAGTTACTGCTACTCTGCTAAGCTAGGCTAGTTTAGCTAAGGCTAGCTTGTTTGAACTTGTTAGAGGCTAGCTCTCTTGCTTAGCTGGCTGTTTCTCTGTGACAAAGTGCACAATGCACAATGTAAATGGGACAGAAGGTTCCTTAGAGAAATGCTTGTTCATGTGAACATACCCTCTTTAATAAACCAATAAATTACAAATTACAACACCAGAGTGCAGCAACTGTGGTTTGGTTTCCGTTTAGTTCAGTTTATAGTTCACTGCAAATTTTGCCTGCAGTTTCCCCACACATATTTCTATGGCATAATGTTTTTTATACAGTAAAACAGATGAAAAAAAAAATCAGATTTTGACAAAAAGCTGTGTTTTTCCTTTAAAAAAAACAAAACCACTGTAATTTCCTCTCATTGGATCTAAGGAGCCCAAACCATTGAAACAGCCGCAGAGGTCTGAGGGTGTCCGTACATCCATTTAGTGTTCCCTCTTTTTCAACCACAAATAAGTCAAATTCAGGAGCAAGACGCTCTCAGAAATGCCATTTAATTGTGACTTCAAAACCAAACTGTACATCTGAAAATCTTCCTACAACATATAAAGAAATGTTTCTCCTTCTTCTCAACACTGTAAAAAACCAGTTTAGTATGTCAGACCACTTGGCTGTGACAAATAAGTTATCTTATAAAACAAAACACTTTATCCACAAAATCATTTGTAATCCTGGAGGGCTACTTTAGATTAGGGGCTGCCAAAAATCCCCCAAAGGGCCCAGTTAGCCACTGTTTAAATATTTAAACTCTGAAGTGTATTTACTTGAAGACAAAAAAGCCACAAGCTTTCACTTGCTCTCAGAAAAGTACAAGGACCCTCTTACACTGAGGTTGGGCTTGTGATGCTGAATGTTAACACTTCTCCTTCTACTTAACACGGATTTGAACAGCTATCAGAAATTGGAGAGCAAAAGAGTGAGACATAACCAATAAAGATTGTAATGAAGTCTGGCTTGTGTGGCTCCCGGCAGGCAGCAGATTCATTCTAAGCGCTGACACAGGCTGCACAACAAAGTCAGGAGGTGATTATCTTACGACACTACGTGGCTTGTGATTTAGGAGTCATGTACTGTTTCAGCTGAGATCAAAGGCAAACAGCCCAGAGGCTTAACAAAGAACTGCTGATAACCCTGAGGAGGAAACACAAAGAGAGACTAAAACTCTCCAAATGAATACAATTTATTGTCTCTTTGACAAGGATATGCCACTGTCTGCAGTGGCCCGGATCGGTGGCCTTTGGAAAGTAAAGGTAATTCTTAAATCAACATTTTCATTTGAAACCCGAGACTGTGTAAACATACTTGGAGCTTCCTACTAACACCAACCTTCAATAGAGGAATAATTTTAATAAAACACACATGAGCTTCTAAATAAACCTCAATCTTCTCTCTGGGAAATGAGATTAACGTCCTTCTGATACACATTTTTTAACTCACACACACAGGCTGATAATCAGGCAAGTTCTTGGTAATTTATTTTTCAAACACTTATTAACTAATTAGCATCTGGAGTTCTCAAAGGAAACAGATCAGTAGTCTGTTTCAAGTGTTTAACATTTTTTGCATTACCTAATTCTACCCTGAAAGAACCAAGGCGATTTGCAGATTTTTCAGTCAGGCTTGAAAATATTTAAAATATTATTTGCATTTCAGTGAACCGCACACACAACACAAGTCGCGTTGTGCTTTCTTTTTTGCATCTGGGAGTTCCTAAGTCAGTGCAGGCAGGAGTGTTTAATAAATCCTCTGAACTGACACACATGAATCGTAATCCTGCAGTCCACTTTCTTAATCACCAAAACTTCTTTACTCAGTGTCACCAGGTTGTGATCTTTGCAGCCATGAAAGAGCAGCATCACACTGAAGAGCATTTGAAAAAGACCCAGAGGGAATTTCACAGCCTCCCATTTTCCACAAAATCAGCCTTTGAGACGACCAACAGGCATCTGCACGGCCACCTCTCTGTGCTCCGTGCAGGCGGTCCTCAACACATTTCACTGTGGGACCAAAAAGACCTGTGTCATGCTACGCAGCTGAGAGCAAAGCACACACAGAGGCCCGTGCCTCCAAAGTGACCAACCAAATCCACCATTGTTGGGGCTCATACTTGGCATCGACGGTCTGGTCGCGGGCTGACTGGAGCCGGAGCCTTTTTAGCATCTGTGCAGCCGAGGCAGGAAGGAAACAATGGACTAAAGAGGCGGCCAAGACCTTTCCGAAAGACGCTGTTGGAGAGGCTGTAGATGAGACAGTTACAAAAGCTGTTGCTGATCGCCAACCAGGTTGTGAGGAAGGATGCCACCTTGTGGTGATACAGCCCAGCGCTCTCCAGGAGGAAGTAGAGGATGTACGGCATCCACAGCACGTAGAAGACACTGGTGATACGGAACAGCACCATGGCGTAGCGTTTGTCTGGGCAGCCCTCGCACCGCTCCCCCCGTTCGCCTTTATCGCCCTCGGCCTGTGAGCTGAACCGGGCGTGACGCTGGGTGATCTCCCTCGTATGCTGCCTGCAGATCCTGAATATACTCCCGTAGGTAAAGCAGACGGTGAGTGCTGCTGGTGCGTAGAGGAGCCCCACAATGAAGGTGCTGAACCCTGGGTTGGTCTTCCAGGAGTCTGCGCACCACTGAAATATGTCCCCGTGGTAACCCGGCTTCCCCCAGCCAAAGAAGGATGGCAGGAAGATCGAAGCAGAGTAAACCCAGATGAGGACAATGCACATCCTCAGCCGGCATGGCGTCACCAAGGTGGCGTATGACAGCGGGCGGGTGATGGCTATGTAGCGGTCCACGCTGATGCACGCCAGCGAGGCCATGGAGACGCTCTTCAGCACAGAAACCATATACCCAAAGGCCTTGCAGGTGAGCTCTTCATTGAGGCCTCGGAGGTAGTGGAGAAGGGACAACGAGGGGACCAGGCAGCTGACGCCCACCAGCAGGTCGGCATAGGCCATAGTCTGGATGAAGTGGCTGGTAGTGTGGTGGTGCAGCAGTGGGGCACAATGGAAGACAAAGATCACCACCAGGTTGCCGGCAATGATGAGCACAGTGAGGAAGAGGATGACCACCACCTCCAGCACGCAGGTATCCAGGCTACGGGAGTAACCCACGGCGCCCAGCAGGCAGAACGGGGGAGAACCGCTTTGGTTCACATCGGAGGAAGAGTTCATGTTTGGACTGGAAGGGGGAGGGAGGAGGAGGGAGGAGGAGGGGGCGGTTTCAGCTCAACGCAGCTGTCATCCTGTCATCCAAGTCTCTTTTTTAATCCTGAAGTTGCTCGTCCCGTCTTCTGCCCCAAAAACAAAGCGTTCCTTCTGTTCTTCTTAAATCAGCATCTTTTCTCCCTCAGCGGGCAGGGAACCTGTCCTTAAAGCAGCAGTAATCCATCGGTGAATGCAAAATGCAGCCAGGCTCTACTGCTGCTGGGTGTGAAATATGTCCATGTGTGCAACCTCGAGAGGCAAAAAAAACTCCCCAACGTAGAGCAAGAGATGCCAGTCTGATGCTGCAGTGCAAACCGTCCTCCCCTCGCAGCTGTTTATCATATCCCCCCCCTCGACTGCAAATCCTGAGGTAAGCACTCTGCTCCGGCACGCAGCCACCGAAAAATCCAGGCATCCACTTCTGCCCTTTGTGTGCCAGCGAAGGAAAAGGGAGGGAAAAACAATGCCAAATTTCCCGGCAGCTCCGATGTTAACACTCCTCCACGCTGTCTCAGCAAACAAAAGCAAGAGTCCAAACAAGCAGCATCGGAGCTGGAAGTCTCAGCCTTGTGCTGTTGACTGGGAATGAACACACACACACACACACACTTTCTGACATACACATACACACACAGACACAGCGTCTTGAGCAAGAAGAGTCCTGAAGACAGACGAGCGCAGGCAGGCAAACATCCAGAGGTGATGGATAATGTCACTAGGATCTCCTCACTGTGAAGCTTCTAGTGCGGCTCAGAGGCAGCCGGCAGACTTCCAGTGCGTCTGTGTGAGTAAGGGAAGATAGTGTGTGTGTTTGTATGAGAGAGAGAGAGAGGAAGAAGAAAAGAGAGAGGGAGAGAGAGAAGAGAGAGAGAGGGAAGGGAGAGAGAGAGAGAGAGATGAGGGAGGTAGCGAGTAAACTGCCTCTCCTCTCTGCTGTAGTGGCAGTAGTGATGATGCAGCTCTGCCACTGCTACTTCCCTCTCCTCCCCCTGCTTGCTTGCTCATTCTCTCTCTCTCTCTTATGCACACACACTTGGGTGTTCCCTCCGCTCCTCTCTCTTATGCACACACACATTTTTCTCACATTTTCCCTTTCTGCTTGCTCCCTCTTGTCCAGCCTTCCCCCCCTTTCCTCTTTCACACACTCATTATGGCTCTCTCTCTTTCTCTCTCTCTCTCTCTCCCACTCTACTTCCTTTTCTTCTTCCCCTTTTCCCCCACTGTTACTGTATTTCAACTGTACAACACCTTTAATGTGACAACCTTTTTGGGTGACAATTGAAAAGTCAATGTTTTACTGTTACTATTGATATAAAAGTTTTTTGTGTTCTATCCACTTTGAAGATTTTTACCACACTTTCTCTCAATTTGTGAACAGACAGGATTGCGCTATCCCCTCCACTTTCACACCACTCTCTGCAGGAGCCCCGACCTACCAGTATCACTCCCTAACCCTTTGTTCACATAAGCTGCCTGAGCAGCGCGTGGCTCCTACAGCACTCAACAGCTGCATCTGGCACGCGTTGCATACCATACAATAAAAAACCTTGTTAACGTGTGAACGCATTCTGTCCACAGACACGCCAGAGAGCTTTTAATCTGAAACAGATACAGAATACATTTCTATTTTTTTTTCCATGTCCGTGAAAACTGTAGTGACAGGTGTATACGTTGCTGGTATGTCGATATGACTACAAACAGACCCTTTCCACGAACGACTTATGCAGGGAGTGTGACTGCTCTAATCTGTTAACATGGGCGCCGAAATAAAAAGCAAGACGTTCTGCCACACACACACACTGCTCAGGTAGGCAGTGTGAACCGGATGTAACGCAGCAACAGATATGTAATCCCGCTTGGCCTCCCCACTCATGGACTCTTTAGTGGCAGTGGATGGGAATTGAACCCACTTTAGTGACTTGACAAGACAGCTACATGAGATTAAACATTAATTATTTCCTGAAAACATTTTTAAAAGCATCCTTCATGAACAACTGGGTGATGCTGAGATGAAACTGCTGCAGTTTTGTTTTTGTTAATGTGAATATTATTGACATTTTCTACTTAGTTTTGTGTATGTAATTTTATGTGTAACAATTTGAGTTGTATATAGACATATGACATGCTTTGTTGTCCTCGTTTTTAGCTGTATATCCATTTCTGTCTTCCTGAAATTGTGAAATTGTTCTTATAACTATAATAGAAACTGAAAAATAGAGTCAAATTGCTTGTGTGTGTACTCATATTTGGCCAATAAAGCCGATTCTGAAAGATGGATGATACTGTACATTGATTGGGAGAGCATTTTCATCCAACATTTTATTTCCTTTTAGAAAATAAATAGTTTTATTACAGAATGATCATACCTCAGTAGATTCAGTAAATATTTTGTGGATGTATATCAGAGCCAATTTTTGTTCAGTTAACTGATTAATTAAAGTCCTGCTCCTGTTAAAATGGGACTGAAACTCGCTGCTGTATTTCCTCAGACCCTTTCCTTCCCTCTCCGTCTTCCTCAGATTCTTCCTCACTGTTTCTGTAACTGTACACCCCCCTCCATGTCTCTGCATCCTTCCATCCTCGTGTCCATGGACCCTCTCACTGCTCATTGAAGGAGGCCCCACCTCCGTCCACATCTAGCCAATAACCATCAAGTGGGTTTCCAGCTCCACAGAGACTGTTCACGCCCACCCACGTGCACACACACACCCTCCCCGGCAGGCTTCCCTCACGTACGAATTGTACCCATGCAAATGCAACGACACAGCAACACACACACGTGTTCAGAGACGCGGCGGGGGATGTTCACACACGTATATTCTTTTGATTAGGAGAGGAGAATTCCTGCAGCATCTAATGTAAGGAGGGAAGGATGAAAAGATGGAAGGAAGATAAAGGATGGAGAGAGGGAGAAATATTGAGCCGGTAAAGGTTTGGACAAGACTGGAAAAATACATGTGCATTTCTTTTTCTTTCATCTTTATCTGCAGCAGGTCTCTCTTTCTTTCCCTCTCTCTCTCTTTCTCCTCTCTCTCTCACACACACAACACACACACACAAACAACACACACACACACACACACACACACACAGCTCCCTTGCAGCTGTGAAAATGCAGCAGCATCAGCCAGATGCCACCTGCAATGACTGCCAGGGTGAAACAAACTACCACAGCAAGGCGAGGGCTGTGGTGTTGTGATAAACAAGGGTCAGTTCACACAAATTACA